GAAATTAAATATTAAGTATATCTTAGAACCATTGTTGAACAGCCAACCCAATTTTTTTTTGGGGGGAGGGAGGCACTTTTATGAGATTATGTGATGTGTAGTTCAACGTATAATTGAAGCTTGTTCCTTTTCTATGATTTCACGAAAATTTAGGTATTAAATATAAGAGTCTGTATTTTATTTTAAATTGAAAATTCTAGCTTATTGTTGTTTCTTTTTTGGTGGTCCCGCAGTGGACTGATCGTTAAGACACGGTTCCTATTAGATCAACGAAGTCAAGCGTCACTGACTGCGGTCTGTGTGCGGGTGGTGACCACTTGGATTAGACTACGTAGGGACCGAGGGTATGCGGTATTTGGTCATCGTTAAACTGCTCTACCGTAAAGTGCTCGACTTCGCGTGCAGGTCGTCGAGCTACCAAATCGGGGATGCCATCCCCTCTGCAGAGGATCAAAATTGTGATGGCACGTCTTCGGATCATCCTCAGGGATGTTTCCCAGACAGTCATCAATAGCCCATTGTGCAGCTCTAGTGCGACGTAAATGAACTACAACAACTACAACAACATTCTATGTGTAATGTAAATTAAAGTTTACTGATATTTAATTCTTGCAGATTTGTAGCCGCTGATAAACTTCGTAAGTTTTGCCAGCTAAGCGTTGAAGAAAGAAAAAATATTGTTGCCCAAAAGCTGGCAGAAGTGTCAGGCCTTCAAGAATTTCTACAAGTAAGTTTATTTGATACATTTAAGGGTTGTGTACCAAAAAAGAGTAAGGATAAAAATAATAACTGTGTATTGATATAAGTATATTTAATATTCTTTGTTTGTTGCTTATAAGTTACGAAACAAATTTATATTAGAAGAAAAAATGCTGAATTTGTAGTCGATTCATGAGCTGTAAAAGTATAAACGATATTGGTTTTGTTAACAATAAGTTGTAAAATATTTTAAATGGTATTGTATTTTTAGCCAATTCATTATGAAGAGTATAATTGGATGGATGAACAATATTCTGGAGGTGGTTATTCAGCGGTCTATCGACCAGGATTTTTCACAGGCTATGGGAAGTAAGTTTTTAAGATTATAACGCACGCTTTTGTATGAAAAAGTAGTAAATTTGTTTAAATATTTACCAAGGTTTCAGAGACCTAGACATCATTAAAACGTCATACAGAAATATATTTCTTCAGTGATTCAATTTAGCAGTGTCTAGTGCACAAAATCTATGATTAAAGAAAGATAGGATAGTGGCATTACAAGTTCTTTACATGCTAATGACATGTATGTCTTGTCTTTTCCTTTTAAATAGATATTAGGCATTTGCAAGACTATCAACCATCGTTAGCTAGTTCAGATCAATGAGAAAAACAAACGCCATGGAAAATGTATGCAATTTTAGGATTTAATAATATTAGTAAAAGGATTAAAAACAGTATTGTCAGTACTATTAGTTTATACCATTAATTTCGTTAATATTTCAGACGAAGATAACAGTTGATGTCGTGTATCAGATAGTCGCATCAAATTTTTTTCAGATCTGGTACTAAAATATGGTTTTACGCTTTTCAAATTATATTGAAATTTATATGCATACTTTATTTTTCCAATAGTAGTTTGGTTAATGATAAATTTTTAGCACTTTTTTTAAGAATTGTTTTCGTGTCGTTTTATTAGGAAGAACTGTTCAAAGCATACGAACATGTAAAAAAACATGTAAATATGATTCTGACTTATACGGCAAACAACTAGGCATTATTACAGATATGAGCACAATAAATATCAAGTAAATGTCAGTATTTTCTTTTTTATAATGCTGTTCTTCCCTCTGGAGTACGTTCCTTTCTTGGTGAACTAGTTGACAAAAACATTGAGTTTTAATTAAGAATACAAGCTATGATTTCTAGCTGCCTGTCGACTCTCTTTTCCATTTCCATCGTTTCCATTTTGATCGCTCAATGGTATTTTTACTCACAGATGTATCATAGTAAAGATTATTATTATCACAGCAATGATATCATTGGGTCATGATTTTTAAGATCGAGTTATGCCTTTTTCTGCAAATCTTTTAAATATATTGCTAATTTTATGATATTTAACTTTGAAAATGAAGAAAATAGAAAAATTTTGGTATCACAAGTTAAAATAATAATTTTTTGAAAAAAATTGTGAAAGTTTAAATATGTCTGAAATGGAATTTCACTCATTGAAAAACTCTAAAACCTATTTTTTCATTTATACTTTTCATGTTGTGTGAGAGATTATGGTATAGAGGAATAAGAGAAGTTCTTTAGTCTTTTGCACATTGATTTATTATTTGATCTATGTTCTACTCTTTCTTTCACGTAACAGATCTTTTTTTAAGCATTCGTCGGAACATTGAAAAAAAAGTACAATGATGAAGAATAAAAAGAATTTATGACAAAACGACATGAAGAAGATTGATATTTTTCAACATAATTGACATGAGAAGCTAAGTATTCGGCTTATGGTTTAAAAACGTGCTCTGAAAATTTTTGTCGAGAAACGTTGTCACAATTTAATCAAAATAGTTATGATGTATAATCTGGAAGCTTTGACCTCACTGTTTGATAAATAATAAGCCTACTCCAGGACTTCCCGCAACCGGTGTGATGTAGGCTAAACTATTTCCATGTCATATCTTCAGACCAACGAAGTGCTTAGAACTATTATTTAGGCCTAACTGACGATTTTAAACAGACAAATGACCTGATGTTCCTGATTTTCCTGTTCCTTCCTTTTTTTTTATTGGTCTACTATCAAGAGCATGGATTTCCAACCAGTTAGGGACTACAAGGTGACGTTTTCGAAGCTAAAACTTTAAACTATATGCCAAATATTTGGAACCTCATGGCAATTATGTCGAAAAGTAGCTAAATATATGCATATCATTAAGTAATAAATACGTTACAGACTTGACTCTCGTCTTTTTTTTATCGATAATCAAACTGAAATTTAAAAAAAATGATTTTTGCATCTGACATTCTTTCCCAGTCAAGTAATATATTTTATTTACATAGAGTTATACGTGAGCCGATAGACAGAATGTATTTTGCTGGTACAGAAACTGCAGTAGAATGGTCTGGTTACATGGAAGGTGCCATTGAAGCTGGGGAGAGATCTGCCCGAGAAATACTTTATGCGATGGGAAAGATAACGCAAGATAAGATATTTCAAAGAGAACCTGAATCAACCGTAAGTTATTATTGGCATTTCCTTTGTGATTGTAAAATGACGGAACTAATGTTATTATGTATCCTTGTTGTATTATAATAGTTATAAAAATTACATTCGATCTGGTTTGTATTTTAATTTCGCATTGCCGACAAGACGCAACAAAAAGGTTTTACCGCTTAGTTAGAATGGTACAAATAATAATGCAATGATGCTTATAAATATACCATTTATGTATATTTAGATGATGTTTATGAATTCACTAGAACTATTCAATCGACTTCGCTCAAATTTTGGGTTTTGTTTTATAAAATTGTAGTTTTTAAATTGATGCAAATAATTGTATATCTTTCAATTCAAAATTCTTTCAGCTATTTTTAAATAAATAAAATAATAAATATTTATTTAAAGTTATTTATCGCATTAAATTAACTTTAAATGAACGAATTCTATAGTTGTGCGCAAGAAGTTTTCAATTCTCTTAAAAAGTTCTCGAGCTTTGGCAAAATACATAAAAAGTAAAAGTAAGATTAAGGGGTCCAAACATTGAACCGCTCTCTTGACCAAACTGTGGGGACCATATTTCTCAGGTCTTGGCTACCCCCAATGTTTTAGGAGTCAGAAATCCGAATTTGTTCAAAGAAAAGGTATGCTTTTTCAAACAAGTACATTTTTGTGTCTGATTTCTTAATTTAAACTATCGCCTGCGTTAATTAATTGGCACATTTAAGGTCTACACCCTCGAATCATTAAGTTAAAGTCCTAGAACTTGCTGTTTGTTGTGTCATGTTGGCAATCTGAAATCAAAATATATCCCCCCCCCCAAAAAAAAGTAAATTTTAAAACTTCATGAGCTTGATTTTTTTTCTTCTTGGGGTAGAGTAGGAGCTGGTAGATGCAGTCGCAACCCAGGAGGAATTAATTTGCAGCATTTAGGGCTTATAGGGTGAATTTATGGTGAGGGGTGTTTACTTAGATGTGCCGGGTGGCAGTCTGCTCTCGTGACCCCGACCATCAACTGACGTAACTATACTATAAGTACTCGGGATTGTTTGCTAGTCTAGCGCAGTGATGATGGCTTTAAAAATTTCAACTCTATGTTATTTCGTTAAAAATGGTGATTGATTGATTTAAAATAATATTATGGAATTCAGAAGGGGTAAATACTTTCATCATATAACAAATAAATACTATTAATAATATAAAAATCAAATAATGTATAAAACAAATAATGTATGAACTTATTTTGCACTATTTTGCACTTATTACTAATATGAACTTATTTTGAACACAATTAGCAACATCATTATTGTCAGTAGGCGCTATATATTCCAAAATAGACTACAGCTGCCTTGAGAATTTCTGTTTTGGTTGATCTAGCACTAGCCGAGTTTCATTCCAAATTGATCTAGCACAATCATAATAATCTAGCACAAGCATAATTTTAAAGGAAATCAAGCATAATTTTACGTCATGACTTAAAATTGATCAAACACTCTTTTGTCTCATTTTCAATAAATGGTATAGTGGTAGCTAAACTTTATAAGATTGAATCGATCAGAAATTTTTGGATTGTTCATCGAGTTTGGAATTCATATTTGATTTGATGTACGATACCTTTGTTTAGCATTTCAGGATTTATAATAGCAAATCTTTTGAGGTCGGATTTTAATAGAAATGAGAGAGTTAATTTTCTTAGAAAGTTCATCGCGTTTGGAAAGCGTGTATCAGGATAAACTTGATATATCATGTTTTTTTCGTTTTCCTTTTCTTTTTGGCTTATTCTTCTTCTGTTTCATTCTTTCAGGATATAATAGCAAAACCTTTCGAAGTCAGTTTTGCAGAGAGATACACACCATCTGTGCCAACTTTTTTGAAGTTGATGGCATTATTCACTGCTGGAATAGGAGTATTCGCTGCAATGAATTACCCAGCAATTGCAAATTGTGATATTACGTCTTATTTTAAAGTAGAATAAGTTGCATTTTCATTGTATGCAAAGCTTAAATACATGTTGTTTATTCTATATTATGATTAAATATATTATTGTCCGTATTTTTTAAAACTATTTATCAATTTGTATATGTTGTAGTTTATATTGCGCTTCTCGGGCAAGATATTAAATAACTAGATAACTACGAGGATAAAGGAACGTATTATCGTATCGCATAAAAATCTTACGATACACTCACTACTGTAGTTGTAACCATTTTTATTATCTTCTTAAAGGAATCGGATAAAGTATAAACTTTAAAATTGTTATCATGATATATTGTTTAATTCAGCGTCAATCAGTTTGATATAGATAGTTCAAGGTGCTCTATTAGGAACTTTGGCGAGCGTTGACCCTTAATAAAGTTCTAATTGGCCACAGCCTTCATGAAGTATAAGTTTGCTTGGTTTTATGGTATTAAACACAGATGTTATGGTATAAGCTACAGATATTATGGTTCAATATTGAACTTATTTTTCTGAGCAGTACATTGAGCAAAAAATAAGCGAATTCCTCTGAATAACTTTTTGACCTAATCATAGGATTTTGACGTACTAGGACTTAATCTAAATGGTCGGAGGGGGTGACCTTAAATATCTTAATTAGTTATTAAGAGGTATAGTGAGCAAAAAAATCTTATCACTCAGAATGACTTTTGATCTGATTATGGAGTTTTTACGTACTAGGACTTAATCTTAATTTTTCGATCAGATGACTTCAAATATCTTAATTAGAAAGTTGTATTACTTAGAAATGATTTTACTTTTTATGCATTTCGACTTATCCTGACTACTCCTTGAGCAAATAAAAAAATTTTCGTTCGAAATTGTAAAATTCGTTTATGTAAAAAATAAAGTTTGAATAATTATTTGTTATTTTATTTAATAATGGTCTGAATTGCAAGGTATATAAATTTTTTCATCATTTTAAAGCGTGTAATTTCATAAGGAAAAATACGAAATTTGATTGAAATAGGTCTAATAGTTCCTGAGAAATAAAAGTTTAAATGTCAGTATTTCTTAAAATTTGATTTCTCAGGAACTATTCAACCGATTTCATAGACGATGAAAGACAAAAATTCGAAAGAAGAAATAGAAAATTAAAAGTGAAGAAAATTAATTACGAAATATTTTTTCTGGTTACTCCTTTATTTGGTGAAAAAGGTGGATTAAGTTTAATTCGTTCATCTAGTGAAATAAGTTAGTGACTAGTCTGAAAAGTCAGTTTATTCATCAATTGAAAGATAGAAAAAAGTATCCGATATTTAACTAAGTGAGATTTCTACTCGTCTATGTCGTGGAAAAGATTAATTCAGTTTAACTCGTTCATCTAGTAAGAAAAGTTAGTGTAAAGTTAACTTGTATGCGATTTTAAAATGATTTCATTTTGTATTTTAATGATTTTGCATTTTAAGGGAAACAAAAATCTAAGATAAAATCGTTCATTTTAAGTAAAAAAGATTGATGAAAAATAAACCTGTATGCAATATTTAAATAAATGGGTCTTCTATTCATTGAAAAAGATTAAAAGGTCAATTAATTCATCAAGAGGTTAACTCAGTCATCTAGAGAAAAAGCTTAGTGAAAATTTTAAGTTGTACACTGTAAAAAATTCCAGATCAAATTACTGTAAAAAGAATTGGCACCTTGAGTGCAACATCCGTAAAATCGATTGTATCATATAATCCATTTTTACCATAAAACTTTTTACCGAAATATCTATTTAATTATAGTGATTTTACAGTATATGTTACAGTATAAATTACGGTATATTAGATTTTTCATTCCGTAAAAGTTTAGGGTAAAAATGTATTTTAAACTAAAAAATACTGACACCCTGAGTGCCGGTACTTTTTACAGTACTATGATACGAGGTTTTTTACCTTGTACGTGATGTTTAATTAAGAGGAATTTCTACCAGTACATCTACTGGAAAACGTTAATTAAGCTAGGAGTGTTGAGACAAAATTAAAGGGGTGGGGGCGAAACTATTTCTAAGTAAATAGCATCGATGTTTTCAAATTTCAGTGGATGGAAGGGATTAGCTTAAGTGAAGCATTATTATGGCGCTAAACATTTACGAAGTAGTTAACGCATCTTTTTATTCAAAGTATCTTTTTAATTAATTTTACCTGAAATAATTTTAATGATTTCGTAAATTTTTTTGAGTATATTGCCTTTAAAAAAATAATCCACAATGTTATTTAAAAACCAACTTATAACTCTGCCTTTCTTCTTAATTGTGATTAAAATACTAAATTTTTTTATTTACATATTTTTAATTACAATTCTTTTTGAAACAGTGTTTTTTGTATAAATTTATTTGTCTAAGTTAATGTAGCTTGAACTACTTCCTAAAAAATATGTAGATTAAAAAGAAATTCTTAAAGAAAAAAAAATCCAAACTTTATCTACTTACGTCTACCATATGTATGTTTCAGAAAAAAAGGAATAATTTCTAATTTTCATTTGCTTGCATAGTAATTTTATTATTCTTGTTTTGTGCATAAACAATGTAAAAAAGGAAATAAGAAATTGAAGTAAGCGTGCTTTTTCTTTTCCTATTTTTTGGCAGGTTTCTATACTATCTAAAATTGCTCACTAAAAAAAAAAGGAGGAAATAATTACTATCTAATATAACTAAACAAAGTATTAAAGAATTTTTTTTCTTTCTAAAAGTGCAGCATTAAGGCATTAAGGAAAGTGTTTAGTTGAATGTATGGAAACTAGAATTTTAGTAACGCTTTTATTTTTACTTACAAGTGATTGAAAATGTATAAAGAATTCGTTTAAAATTGGGAAGTTGTTCAGAAACGTGTTCTGCCTTGGCATCGAATCAATTCAAAACGTGTTTTTTTATTATAGATAATTTTATTAATCATTATTTAAATCATACTTTTCAATTTTTAAAGAGGGATAATTTTCAAAGAAAATCATTGATAATTATTATTCTATTTAGTTTTATAACAGTGCGTTTCAAAATAATTTTGCTTACTTTCTTTCCTGTTAACTTTATTTCTGTTGTCAGTCTAAACGTGTGCTTGCTTTTATTTGTTTTAGTCTACTACGTGTTTGGGATTTCTTCATAAATTAGGGCATCCTAAAACTCTTATGTTTTTAAATTTTCTAATTAATTACTATTATTTTCTTTAATAATAGATAAAACTTTGGAGGGTAAACTCACTTGAATTGTTATCTGACGTTGTTTATTTAGATAAATCAAGGAATCAACTTTTTTTATTGAGCGCTAGATGTCGCCAGTAGATAACCAATCAAGAAGTTCTCAAAGTAAAACTTGATTGATAAGGTCACTTAGACTTTCCTTATGATATCATCAAAAAAGATAAATGTATAATATATAACATACCGGTAAAGTTTGTTTTTGCTTTCTGTTGCCGTTTTTAAATTCAATAAAAATGGACTCTCAAGTTATAGTTATTGGGGCTGGATTAAGCGGTTAGTTACTCTTTTTAGGCATTAATTTTATTATTATATTTAAAAATATTTACTCAATTGTTTATTACTATTGTTTTTTTTATTTAAAATTATTTTTGGCTTTTTTTATAATTATTTATAATTTTTTTATTGTTCAATTTTTTAATTCTGTTTTAATTTTCTTATTTAACATTGTGGTGTAAAAACATTTATAAATAAAAATAATTAAGGTGAAACGTATTTTCTATTAAGAATAATTTTTAATCGGAAATAACTTCAAGTGCAGTTTATTAAGTTAATATATAAATGTTTATTAATTTTTTTACATTTATGTAGTGGTTAAAATTATATAATATGTAATGAACTGTTTTCTCAATTGTTAACTTTTTTAAAATATTAGTTAAGAAAATTAATACTTTTCCAAAAAAATTATAATTAAAAAGTTTTAAAAAAAGAAGATTTATTTTGAGTATTGTAACAGAATTTTAAATTCTTTCACCATCTTAAAAAAAAAAAAATTGACTTATAGAATAATTGAATTTGTTCGCATTTTTTGGAACATATAGGAGCTTTCAAAATTGCTTATAGAAAAAAAAAATGAATTTATACGCAGCTGCGTTTTGATAAGTTCTCCATTCGTTATTTTAAAGTTGCGTACATGAAAAGAATAAACTCTTTGATTTGATCTGATTGAAAAGGCTTGTAATCTCTAGAGTGTTCAAAAAAAATTATGACTCCCTTTTTTATGATATGAAAGATATAATTAAAAGAGATAAAATATAAAAGATAGCAGTCAACTTTAACGTAAAACGTTGTATTTTAATTTTTATTTGATTGTCATACAAATGTTGACAAAATAATCATTTTTTAAGCACATCAGAAATATTAGTTTGTAGTATTAGTACTGTTTTATTAATGATTGAATAAAAGCATACAAAAACATTTACAAAAAATATTTCTTTTTGACTTTTACTATAAAGCTGTTTTTTGTCTTTTTTTTCATTCTAGCTTTGTTCAAATTCTCAAATGCAACATTTTGTTTGCGTTAAAAAATTAGTGACCAGCATATACTTCACTTTTAAAGTGTTTAAGAAAGTATATAAATGACCGGGCAAATAAACCTTGTTTCAGTGAGGATCATGAAATCTAAAACAAACCTTGAGAAAATGAATTTATCCTCGGTTTGAGAACGTTTTACAAATGATAATTCATCCTCGAATTTAGAAAGTTTTTCTCTCCTGTTGTATTGTAAAGTCAAATTTAATTTCGATATAAAAGGGTTGTTTATGTAAGCTTAGTGTGAACCTCACACCGCTTAAATTAGCATAGTTCAATGTAACATTAACTCCCGCTGACAAGGTTTTTTTGCTTATAATTTTTTATAAACTTTTTTGGGCTTTGTGATAAAGGTAGTTGCTGACATTAAAATCAACTTTACTCCGCCATCTGGGGGTATTTATTAAAGTCTAAACCAGTATTTGAAATGTAAATTTAGATAGAAATTATTCTCGGCTAAATGTTTAGTTACTTCCAAAAAGTTTTCTTAACTGTCAATATTTTATTTTGTGGTTCATCTTTCTTTTTAGAATTTCAAAGCCCTAAAACGTCATTATTAAATTCGTTATAAAAACATCCAGTAGGTTTTTAACATTTTCTTTTAATTTAATTACATTAACATTTCCCGTGAATCAAATATTTATTACTTGTCAAAAAATTAATTGAATAATGAAATGGATGGTTAATAGTTTGTGTATTTTAGAGTCTTTGGAAGTTGATGGTATGTCCTCTTTGAAAAGTTACCTGGAACAGTTGTACTGTTACTGTATCCCCTTTCTACATGATAAAGAGAAAATACTATCAATAAATATAATTACCTTAATAAAAAATGTTTTTCCTTACCACAATAAATGATTAGAAACGAGATAAATTTTTGTGAATTTCTATTATTCTATTTAACTTCAGTTAAAAATGCATTGAAGATTATAAATGAAATGACTAGAACATTAAAAAGGTAAACAAATTTATTTGTGTTCAATAGGAAATTACACATTTTACTTCATAGTAAACTGAGACCACTTTAATTAAAAAAAATTTTTTTAAATATGAAATTGAATAATTTTTTTAAACTAAAATAAGCTGTTAATCGTTGAAAACTTAATCATTAAGAACGAAAAGAGGTTTTTTTGAATGATGTCGTTCACTGATATATTGAAGAAGTAAACCAGTCAGAAATTATTCTGAAATATATGGACAGACTCTAGCATTAAAATCCAGAAAAAAAATATCGAATGAATAATTCATCTTACGTTATATACATAACATAAAAAATAATATGTTTCGATTTTTTACATTTAGGAAAATGAACGTTGCCTATTAATAAACTCGATAACTGCTGGCGAAGAACGATAGAACATTTTATTGAAAAATAGTAACAATGTAACTAAGCTTTTCTATTTACCTGCTTTATAGTATCACATTAAGAAAGAAAGTGTTAGATTCTTAATCGAGTTTAATACCGATATCTGATAGGTGAGTTTTTAAGCTTGATATTGATATAAATGTACGTATGCCTATAGTTTTTTTTAAAAAAAAAAAACTTAAAATACACACACTATTTATTTGGAAAATATTTAGAAACGATTTGTTATTCGAGTTGTAAAGGAAAAAAATTTATAAATATGTAGATTATAAAAGCATAATGGAATAGAAATGTGAAATTAAAGTGTTTATTTCGTTTTTGTAATAATTAATAGTATAGTAATTGTTAGCAAACTATTACAACTTACACTTTAACAAATAAGAGGCATTTCGGTAGTTAAGAAAAGAAAAATCTATAAAAAAATTCTTTTTATTTGAAATTGATATTGTTGTTACTTACGGACGGTTTTGGAGCAAAAAATCTTTAGGAGCAGAAATAATTTCATTGTGTTGTTGTATGGTTTATATTACATGAGAGAATTTAAATTTTTTTCAAAACCTTTAAACATCAAGACCTTTAAATTAGGCATAATTATCTTAACTATAGCTCCTATTTCTTCAAAAAAAACTTATAAGAATATAATATAACGCCTAAGAACAGTAATAAAAAGTTACTCATATTAACGAATAATATGGTTCTTCTTTAATAAACAGTGGAAGAATTTCCATCCAAACAAAATTACCAAAAAAATTATGAATAAAATATAGACAAATAAATAAAAATTCGAATTTTTTTCACTGTATGAATTAAATTATTATCAATAACATAAATGTACACTTTTTATATCGCCTTTATTTTGCGATGTCATTTAAAGCGTTATGGACTTTCTACTCTAAAAGTGCTGTCCCACCATGATTCCGCTTAAGGTGTTACTGCACTGTGATTTCGCATAGTTTTTTAACGAATGCCCATCCAAATGCTCCTAATCCCATTATGTTATTTATGTACATTCTCTTAGTGTAGTTATGACCTTGGGGACGATATGATTTGGGACGAACTAATCTATTCAACTAGGAAGAAAATATATTTGATTATACAATAGGGAAGTAACTCTGACGTCATTAAATCAAAGATATCTTTTTTTGATATTTGGATAAACATTACCCATAAATGCATGTGAGTTTTATTTTCTTTTTAACATTGATTTAAAAATCAATCTACGGATCAACATTGAGTAAATTGTTACATTTAAATAAGAGAGATAGATTGATTTAGAGACAATTAAAGTTTTTAAATTTTCACCTGATATATGTTTTTAAACTTGTGTTTTAAAGCTGTATAGCTTATGCTAATATTCTCAAATTTCGTAACCGACTTTAAAATGGCACAAAAATTTTAAAAATAGTGAAAGTGATTAAATTTGGTTAATTTAATTTCATATGATTGGCAATTTCGATGCATGTTAAATTCATTAGAAGAAGAAATTTTTGAACGATAAGTTTGTTAAATATTTTTTATTGGAAATATTAAAGTTTGAAAAAAATAACTGCGTGGACAGAAATCACAATGTGTCTAGTTTCAATTAAAACAAACAAGCCTTGTTACATTAATTATTAGACATTCTTGCTAATTAATAAACTTTCTTACGCTTTGAAGTTTGTTTTATTAATTAATCCTTGTTTAACCAACACTAAAGCTAAAACACTATTAATGTATCACGCTGTTAGCTGTGCCGTAGTCCCATACGGAGGGAAAAAAATCTGGTAAAATTTCCTAACTGTATGATAATGACATTTCTAGTAAGAAAAGAAAAACATAATTCAGGTTAATAATTCCGAAATACATGGTAATCAAATCATTCATTTCATACGAACTAAGGTAGACAACGTTAAAGAGCACAAAAAAATCTTGTGCTCTTTAACGTTGTCTACCTTAGTTCGTATTTTAGCACAAAGGTCGCCCACTTGTGTATTCATTCATTTCATATTTTTTCTATTCATATCGTAACACTTAACCGGAAATTTTGGTTCTTTAAATAAAAGTTCTTATCACAATTTTAGTAAACACTAAAAAAAAACACCAAAAAAAAAACTTAAAAGTAAATTTAACTGAATAAATGGTTTTTATGCCATGCTCTAATATATCATGATACAATTGCCAAAATTTTACCACAATTGCGAAATTTTGTCGCATATTTTAAAATAATTACATTTACTAGAACTATTACTGTTAATTTTACCAAAATCATTACCGAAGGGATTTGGTTAAAAACTACCGAGCTTTTTGGTGCTCTTATATAGTCCGAAACAAGGTAAATTTTTATCATATTCTGATAGCTTTGACCATACCTTTTTCCTTAGTGCGCGTAAGAACCTATACTGAATAATAGTGCGAATTTCCAACTGTTCCCTCCTCAATGAAAGTAATTTTATAACAAATGCTTTTAGAGCTTACGATGATTTCTTTAAGTAGATGAGATATGTAACTTTTAACAGAGGAAAAACAAAAGTAAAATTTGAAGCCAATGTTAAATAATAGGCTCTTGAAGAGGACAAATCCAGTCTATAAATTTATCCTTAACGACCTAATAGAATTCATAGCT